CTATTTTGAAATCTTTGCAAGGACAAGTCCTGAGTGTCCTTGGGCAATTCTGTTATGGGCTCCTCCTAATATACTCACAATTAGTTTTTTTATTCACAATGTTTTCGTTCCCTCCCGCAAATGATGAAAAAAAAATAGCAAAGTTTAATTTGAGATATATTTTTTTTTGGTTATACTTTCCAATTAATAAATTACCTCAGACCAGAAAATTTCCACTTTTGGGCATGTTAACCACATATGTTCCAAAGTTCCTTTATATAAGAAGCTTTTTCCAGATCAGAGTCAGATTTTTGCCATTAAACTTGCTTGATGCTCTTTGTGCTTGGAAGATAGGGCTAGTTTCCTTACTGGACTGCTCAAAACCAGGGGCACTGTGGACTATAATCTAGCAACAAAGTGGTAAGCAATTCACTTTGGGGCTTGGGGCGGTATTGCAGAACACCCCCCCCAGTCCTTCCCAGCCCTGCCCCACAGAAACCACTGCCAATGTTTTATTTATTTTATTTATTTATTCCATTTATATCCCGCCTATCTGGTCATTGCGAAACTTTTACTACGTGTTATGTGGGAGAAATCTTTCTATGACAACACTGATTATATCAAAACCTAACCTGTACCATGTCTTTTTAAAAAAAGAACCGCACATTACCTACTGTATATGCTCACCAGAATTCAGAATGGGTGGGGGAGGGTAGGAAGGCGATTAACTACCCAGGAACTTGAGAGAAAGGCAGGCCAGGCCGCCTGGCTCTGCCAAGAGAGGAGGACACTTACCTTTAGCTCCTGAAAAGGCTCCACATTTGCAAGTCATTGGGTGCTGCTAAGGTGGCTGGTTTGTCAAGTGATTTGCTTAAAATCTTGTTAAGGCAATAATGGATCAGAAAGAGCACAGAATTTACATTTAAACAAGCATTGCTTTTTTTAAAAAAAGATGTCAGTAATGTTAAACTGAAGGGGTGAGTTGCCACTTAGCCTTTCGGAGCCAAACCATGTAGGATTTGAGTCAACCCTTTGCCCGCAAGCTCTGTGAATGTGCGAGTAAGGTAGGTTTAGCTTGAAGACAGTATTAATCCCTCAAAAACCCATCAACACCATCTCTTCATTTCTTTCCATGAACGCTGGCAGTGCTTGGGTCATCTAGGGCAAGGCAGTGTGGGGCTGGAGTCAAGGTGTTTTTACATGTTAATCTTCAGCCTCTATGTGTGTGGAGATTACATCTTTTAAACCCTGCCTTCAGGCTCTTAATCGCATACTAGCCTCAGTGGAAGAACTATGTCAGCTACTCTTGCTCTGCCCTTTTGAATGATAACTGGATCATTTGGTTGTTGACCTGTACAGAAAACAGGACAGGAAAGGCAGAGGCCAAACAAAGGGAACTCTTGAATGGGGGGGGGGGGGGGNNNCAAGTTGAGAGATGATGGGCACATCTATTGTATCTACATGAAACAGTTACAGCAGTCTGATACCGCTTTCAACTGCCATGTCTGTAGCCCACAGAATCACTCTGCTGGCTAGAAATGCAACAGGAAGGCAGCTGCTTGGAGGAAGCAGAGATCATATGCCACCCAAAGAAGGAATAACCTGGGAGCTGAAATTTAAACTAATATGCCAGGGAATGACTTCCGTTTTACAGGGCGTTAGATAAGATTAAGGGTGCAATCAGATGGCCATTTGTCCCGCAGTTTGGTCTGGGCTCATCCACTCTTTTCCCCCCACTGACCACATGACATACATGCCATTGCAAACCAGTTCACTCTTGCTCAAAAACCACCCACACCTTTTTGGCTCCTCCTTTTGTTGTTGTTAGTTTTGGTGCAGGTAGGATCACTCCCATTTTGGTTCGTTCCAGGATGGGTGGCTGCTGGGATCAAGCTAAACTGGCTGGGTTGCCATCTTTTTGCTGAAACTGGTTAACAACTTCGAGAAATATGAAGCTTCCTTTCTGCTTGCCTGCAGAAGGGTAAGAGAGGCAAAGCTTTCCACTTAGTTTTAATTGTTGCTAACCAATACAGCACATGAACAATGCTTTGAAAGGTGGCTTTTTAAAATAAATCCTTTCAAAGCATTACTATGATAGCAGCAATTAAGAAAAATGGCAAAACTTCCTTTTCTTTCCCCTCCAAAGGCAAGCAGAAAGGAAGCTTTACATTTCTCAAGATTCTTAAGCAGCTTCAATAAAGGGATGGCCAGACAGTTGCTTAATCTTAAATGAGAAGTTTTCCCTTTAAAAAGAAAGTCCTAATCAAGCTGAACAGGATCACTTGAGATACAGCGTGGTGGTTCCTTGCATATGGAAGCAAGGACTGCCCCAAGTGCACCTCAAAGTGACTGTTTAGCACAATCCAGACGGATATAATTCTGCCATCTAGTCACACCCTAAAATAACCTAAATCCTAGCAGTGGTATTAGGGCTGAAATCAGTTCCCCCAGCTGCCAAAATGAAAGAGCCATGATAAGCTCATGTAGCCTGAATGTACTCCCCCCACCCTAATCCCCATTTTGAAGACAGGCAATAAAAGAAACACAAAAGATCACCTTTATTTGAAAAATGTAAAACCTATCATTGTTTATCACTAACAATTTACTACATTACAAAAGTAGTCACACACACACCTAAATCAACACCCTGATACAGTTAATAAGGCTCAGTTCCAAGGACATTACTACAAATAATTCCTCCATGTAACTGGCAGTAAGTCAATCTCTCTGTGCAAAGCAGGCATAGGAAAAAAAACAAGAGTTGTACTGGGGGTGCCTTAAAAATAATAATACAGTGGGGTCTTGACTTGAGAACTTAATCCGTATTGGAAGGTGGTTCTCAAGTCAAAAAGTCTGTAAGTCAAGCTGTCTGTAAGTCAAGGGTCCACTGTAATGAAGCTACACAATTGGACAAAGTTTTGGCATTCTGGTGAAATGGAGTCAGGGCAATGATAAAAGACTATGTTTGGGGCAGAGAGCAATTTCTGACATGCATCTCCAGTACGAGAGACCAGGTAGGGTTAGAGCAACACTGGCCACCAGAAGACAGACCTTGCCCACTGATTACCCCTTTTTCTAGACTAATCTTGAGACACCACCTCTCTCCAAGATTCCTGTATGCCATTGATTGGGCATCCTAAGGCTTGCATCTCCACTTTAATGGCAGGAAATTAAAAAGGACAGTTAGGCTAGTGCCTTCGTGTGCCAACCAAGCAGTTGCTGTTGCTAAGAGGAAAGACTCACATGAACGTGTGGGTGGGTAGGGAGCCCCCCCCACACACACCCATGGCCTTGCTGTCCTTTTTAACAGCTGCCGTTTACCTAAAGGGTGGTAGCCCTGTCCCATTTGGTACTGGCTAGCTCTAGGAGTCTCTCAGCAGTGTAAAAGATGCCGTTTTACCTCAACCCAAGTATCTAGCTGTGGAGGGAGAGGTTGGGAGTTCAGTTCCCCACTGTACCTCCTACAAGTAGAGCCAGCCTGTGTGGCCTTAGGCAAGCTGCACAATCCCAGGAGGAGGGAACGGCGAACCACTGCTGTTTATTCCCTACCTAGAAAATCCTGAAAAGGGCCATCATAAGTCAGAATTGATTTGACGGCAGGGTTTGCTTCACCAGAATCCCGTTTGGGGGCAAGGAGGGACAAGGGCACCTTTGCTCCTAACCAAGTCAGAAAAGTTGGTATGAAGCAACAAAAAGTATAGGCTCTAACACAAAAAACTGAGGAGCTGTGCTGTTGGGAGCCAGGGCCAGCACTGGTGCAAGTAACTGGCTGCATCAGGAGTGAACCTTCCACCCCAAACAGACACATTTCGGATCAAAATTTAGGCTCCAAAGAAACGGCACTTTGTAAGGTAATGTTCCACTGGGTTCTTAATAACCCCCTTCCTTTGCCACTTTTCAAGGTCCAGGTTTCTAGCTACTCTAGAACATGCCAACCCTGGAAAAGGCTCTTCCATGTGCAGGCTGCCTCTTGCAATAGCCAAACCTTTGCAGAGGGAGGCAGGCGGCTTGGGAGTGATCTGCTATTGAAATACAGAAACTTGCCATCTTTTTTTCTAATTTCCTTAAACAGCATTTCCTCCTCAGCTGGAGAAGTTTCATGTACTACTTGTTCCCTTCTCCTTCAGGGGATGAGGATATATACACTTTTCTCTTGGGGGCAGTTTTTCCGAAGGGTTCCCCAGCTGCCGCTGATCATCTCCTGCTAAGGTAGGTGGGGGGGGGGGAACCGGAATTCTCAGCCTTCTGTGACCAGGACTCCCTAATGAATCCTTCCTGGACTTTAGAGCCTTAGGTAACCTTATGGGATTTGGCTGCTCCGCCACAGCTAGAGGTCAGCTGTCACTGAGAAAACATGGCTTGTTTACCCAAAGGACTGTGGTAGGTTTTTGCTTTGTAAATTTTCCAGGCAATGAATGAGGTACAAGATGGGCTCAAACAAAAGAGTATAGTACAGCAACATCGGCCCTTATGCTGCAGAATGACCCTCCAGGTATTGTTGGACTCTTAACTTCCACGACTCTCATTCATGAGCTGAGACGGTCTGGGTCTTGTGGGAGCTCAAACCCAGCATGGCCTGAAGATTCTGGATCCTAAGGTAGAGAGAAAACATTCTATACCAATGAAAGCTCAGGCAAATGCAGAGGGCTAAAAAAGATCTACCAAGGTACAGGCAACCCAAGAGGAAAATCAGAGCTTCTGGCAAAGGACAAAAGTAGGCACCGCTCCCCAGGTGCTGAACAATAGAAGCCAACAGAACAAAGAGTCTTACAAAGTCAGCCTCGGACTGCTAATACTTCTCGACTCCAAGGTGCATCTGAATCAAACCTATATATATATATTGGGAAAGATGTGTCTGGCTGCAAGAGCCAAGACATCCACCAGAAGGGAGATTCTTTTCAGAAAAAAATAAATTCAGTGGAAGGTCTCTACCTCTACCACAGTCCAGTCCCCGTGGGGGGATGACATGTCCTCTGGGGAGAAGCTTGTCACAGAAGTAATGCTGGCCCGCGACTCATCCAGAGGGGAGATCAGTTCAGTCCATTTGCTAATCTCTGCTTCGCTGCTCACGGCCCCCTTCCCACCGAAAGCCCCCGGAGGTGCCTCTGCTGAGAAGAGCAGCGTCCGGCTGATGAGCTGTTGCACAACTGTGGCTGGGATGTTTCCTAGGTGAAGAGCCTGGTCTTGGGAGGTGGCCCGCAAGCAGCGACTCCTCCCGTCTTCATCCGGGCCAGGCGTCTCAGCGCCACTTTCTACTTCATAGATAGTGGAGAGGATCTCAGATGGACAGGGTCCCCAAGGGAAGGGCAAGCCAGTCCCACTGTCACCTACAAACAGGGCAAGGAGCTTGGGTTGGAAAAAGTGGCCCTCAGGGCGGAGGGGGACAAACAAAGAGAGGAAGTGACAGACAAGAACAAAAGAACGGGGTGGGGGGGGGAAGAGGCCAGGGTGATTACATAGAGATTGGCCACGATTCTCCCCTAGCAAGAACTGGATTCTCACCTAGCAAGAATTGCACTCCCAACGTTACCGATCTATGGAAGCCATGGTTCAATGTGCTGGTTCTGAAGATGGGTTCAGATGCCTCGTTGGGCCTCCCTCCTCTAGTTCAGTTCCCCTTATAAGATACCAAATGAACTACCAGGGCCGCTTTTGGAAGAGACTCTGGACTTACTTTCTTAAAAAGGACCTTAAAGTCTCCATCGGGGTACTCAAGCAACCTCCTACCTAGCTGCTGCCCAAAGGATCTGCTGCCAGCCACCTTTGTGGAGGAGAGGCATCACAAGCGTTTAGAGAAGGTCAAGTGTCAGCAATGTTCTCTGTTTTCTCAGGAATGGTTTGTCCTGACTTCCCGTCTATCCTTTAGATCTCTTGATTTTACTTTAAGCCAATGAGTAGTGGAACCAAGGATGTATCCAGCAGAGAGAGAGAGAGAAACCCCTGTATTATTTAAAGTTAACAGTTATTGGGGCTCTTCCATAGGAGAGGAGAAAAAGGAAGAAATATTGGGTTATTTGTCCATTCATGACCCTTCATCCACCACTGATTCATAATGCATGGATTTCCTAGGTCAGTAGAATTTCAACAGGGTTTTCCCCGAAAGGCCCACTGCTTCCAAAAGCCAGCCTGCCTTCCTGCATGCCTGCCTTGCTTTCCTTCCTCCCTTCTTATCTCTCACTGCCAAGCTCAGCCAATACATTACTTCCCATATTTGTCTGCAAGAGACTTGGGAAATCTTTCACTCTCCATCTGTGTTGGTCTTCTGTTCCCAAAAGCCCCCGACAGGAGATCCAGTGGGAGTGAGTTGTGCCAAACATGCAGATAGCCAAAGGTTCCCCACCCATGTTTGGCAAAAACTCACAGAGGTTGAAGGCAATAATGTGTTGCATCCAGAGACTAAAACTGCATTAAAACCAGTCTGTCTAGCACAAGGATCTAGCACAAGGAACTCCCATAATCCTCGAGAGAAAGAGAGAAAAAGGGAGACCCTCGAGCAGGAGTGGCGATGTATCAGCCCTCCAGTTGTGAATGGACTGCAATGCCAAGGAGCCTGAACCCGACCTGAGCCATTATAGCCAGTGGTGAGAGATCACAGCACAGCAACTCCTGCTGTGCTAGAAGCTGCCACTGTCGAGCTCAAGAGTGAAGAAAATCAAAAGTGTGTCACCGGATGAGCAAACTCTGCTGATGGGTCAAAATTCTACATCAGACAAGTCATCCTCCAGATGCTGTTAGACTGCAGCTTTCATTACCTCTTGCCACTGGCTATGGTACCTAGAAACGGCAGTCCCAATAAAAACAACACATCTGGAAGGCCATACGTTGTTCACCCCTTTGCGCACTGGATGCGAATCTGCCTGGGTCCCCATGTTTTGCTTCCGCCAGGCACAACGGCCCATGTCAGAGATAACACCCCTCATCTCCCCACCTTTTCTGGCCACATCTAATCCAGAAAGCAAGCTTTCGTAATGACTGGAAATGGTATCTTCTTCCTAGCCCCATCTGCCATATTCACCTAGCACCCTCACACACCCCACCCTGAAATCCCCGGAGTCACCTTCCACTTCCAAGCCCAAACCGAGAGCAGCAGGGGGGGGGGAGAGGTCGCCTGGAAAAACAAGACAGGCCAGATCAGATAGACAAAGTGATGCTTTATTTAACACGTCAAAAGGCTATGAAGTTTTCCTTTCTCAGGAACACGCTAAAATACACACAGCTTCTCCTGAGGAAGTCTGCAAAAGGGATTGAGGGGAAAAGATTTCAAAACACACAAAGACAAAGTAGGCCTGCTTAGCGAGAAACAGAAATGGAACAGGTACACACACGGAGGAAGGGAGGGCCGTCTCCCTTCCCCCAACAAGGGACTATTGCACATGGAGAGGGAGAGAGAGAGAGAGAGGGAGAGGGAGAGCACAGGTTGGCACTTCTGACACAGACAAGGCAGGTGCCTCTATACGTTACCTGCAGCCGCCAAGCCATGAGCAGCAGCAAAAGGCTGGGACGACCCCTCATCCTGTCCGCCAATCTTCTCGGGCATGGGAGCAACCGGCAAGGGATGCTCCCAATCCAAGGGCGTCTTGCTGCCGGCCTCTTTGGGGAGATGGTCCTTTGTGCCCTCTGTGGAATGCTCCTCGCCCTCCAGGGAGGAAAGGCCAGGGCTCTTGCCGCAGCTGTCGGTGGAATGGAGGTGAAAAGCGCCAAAGACATCGGAGGAAGCGGCGGAGTTGGTCGAGGCCGGGGTCTCTGTGCCGGCATCACCAGAGCCCAGTTCGTCGGACTCCTCCACCGAATGGGGCAAGGGGGGCTGCTTGCCCGGGGGAGGAGAGGCCGACAGGCAAACCGCTTTGGCAAAGCCCGCCTCCTTCAGGAGATCTGCATCCAGCTCAGCTTCCTCCTCCGAGGACACGGTGGGCTCCGTCAGAGGTTCTCCCAGGACTTCATCAGCCGGCAGGGTCTCCGCCTCATCGTCTCCTCTCTCCATGTGGATGCCCAGGTCCAGCTCCCCAGGCAAGCCCTCCAGGGGAGTCAGGAGATGGTGGCAGGTTTGTTCCAGCTTCTCATCCGACTTGGACTCCACTCCGGAGCTGCTGTCGTACTCCCGTAGCTCCTCGGGCGTGCTCGTCTCGCTGCTGCTCTTGCCCGCCAGGTCGGGTCCACTCAAAGTGCTGGACTTGGAGGAGGAGCCCCCCTTCTCTGGGGAGAAGCCCTTCGGCTCAGGCACTTCAGGCAGTTGTGCAGTATGTCCCTGCAACAACTCCAGGCTCTTCAAGGGCAGGCTTTGGGGTTTGGGCATCAACCCCTGAGCAGCAATCCCCCCTCGGCCACCACCTGGTAAGACCCCTCCTGAAAAACGGAGTGAGAAGTCCACAGCTTCGCCCTGCTCTTCACTTTCCTCTTCCTTCGGGTGACTCACACACACCTCTGAGACTATGGCCTCCTCCTCCTCCTCCTCCTCCCCGTCAACACTGGGACACTCACTCAAAGAACTAGGATGGTCATCCCAGCCCATACAAGGCTCCTCAATGAACTCACCAGGGAGTGATGTTGCAGCTGGGGGCAGATAGAGAGGAGGCTGGTCCTTGAGAACTTCACTGAGGACCACCTGTTCTCCCCTACACAGCTCCTCCTCCAGTGCTTCATCGGCAGCGTGAACGACAGCTAGAGGAAGACTCTCCGTTTGTAGAGGAGCGGCGGCCTCCTGCATGACCTTGGGATCGGGGACTCCAAGATCCAGAGGGCTCCTCCACCTTTGGCTCTCCCCCTCCGGAGATGCCACACCCGCCAGCAACTCTCCCTCTGGACTCACTGAGAGGCGCGGCACCTCTTCCACCTCCTCCATGCCATGCTCACCATCCTGCTCAGCTGACACAGGTCGCGCAAGAGTTTTCAGAGGAGGGTCTACCTGGTTGGCAAAGGGGCAGAGCTCTGCTTGGAGGGCAGACAACCTGCCCAACTCCCCTGACGACAGTTCTAAGCCACGATCCGCTTTGCTCTCCTCAAGAGGCCCAGCCTCAAACCTCAAGAAGCCAAGAGAAAGAAGCCCCTCCTCACTGCTTGGCAAGGGAGCATCATCTTTAGCTGTCATCTGGAAGTCTGGAAGGGGAGCTGAGAGATGGAGAATATCTTCACAAGCCTCCTCTGTGTCAGAAAACAAGGAAGGCTGCTCACCTACCATGGCTGTCTCAGGAGACAGAGACATTGCTTCTTCCAAGTGCTCAGAGCCTTCACCACCAGGCCACGGGGATTCTGCGGGAGGAGAGGAAGCCCGGACAGCAAGTTCCAGAGAAGTGGGTGAGGAGGCTTCACAAGGGGACGTTGTCTCCACATCCAGCACCCCATCACAACCACTAGGGAGTTCCAGACCCTCTGGGGCAGCCAAGTGAGATGCCTGGCCAGGAGAGGAGACCTTCTTCTCTTGGGGATCCAGAGAGACCAAAGGTGGTGCTTCTTCTTGAGGCACTGCCGGAGAGGGCACTTCCTCTGCTACCATGCAGACTGGTCCAACACTATCCTCCCTTTCTAAATCTCTTGGCACAATGTGGTCGGTCTCCAGTGCTTCTATCTTGCCCACCGTTGACACTGCCTCTTGGAAGGCTGGCTGGCCAACAGCCTCCACCACAGTTGTGGCATCCAATTTTTCTAGAGGCGTTGAATCCTCTGTGGAAATGCTTTCTGCCTGCCCAGCGATCACCTTGATAACCTTTTCTTTAACAGCTGCCTTCTGAAGTTTACTTTGATTGAGAGCTGGTTCTCGGTTAAGAAAAGCATCTTTCTTCAAAGGCTTCTTGCCTGGGCTACCTCTTGAAGGAGGGACCTTGGGAGAAGAAGCCAAGGCTCTTGGTGGGGTAGCTGAACTGACACTCCCACAAGCTGCCTTGGTGGGGGTTCTGGGCTTATGGGGTTCTGAAGACTTCTTTGCAGAAAGCTTGCTGTTCGCAGCTGCAGCTGCTACACTCCTTTGTCCAGGATTCTGCTCAGACTGCAATTTTGAGCCTACGGTTTTCAGTTGCTTTGGGGCAAACGGCACCTTTGCAGTGGTATTGGAGCTGGCAGGCTTGCCTTTCAATGGAGTGGCAGCTCTGGAAGCACCTGGAGCAACAAATGGCACTGTAAGTCTTCTGCATCAACTGCAAAAAGCTACACTTAGTGCAGTGTCTTTGTAAAGCAGATTGGGATCCTCAGCCAGGTGAGGGGTCCTTTTACAGAGCAGGGGAAAGTTCAAAATTCCCCAGCCACCATGGTCACACAAGCAAGGGGATCCTGGGGATTTCCAAGCCTGAAAAGAGATCTCTCCCAAGGTCTCTTCCTGAGCAATTCATATTACTCTCTCTTGCACTCTAGAAAGAGCTTCTCTAACTGGTTTTATAGCAAAAAGTACAGTCATCGCTACTGTTGCAACCCTTCTCACTTATTAAATTAACATTTAACTGTCCCCAAGCCCATCTTGAAATATAACCCCCAATATTAAATCATCTAATACCTGCAAGTATACTGTTATGGCTTCCACCGAAAAAGGCAGCACCACTTAGCTCTCTGGCAAGAGATAATATAATATTGGCTCAAATCCTCTTCTTTGATGTCATATGTCACAACCAGGGCAGGCCCACTGAATCAATGGGGATTTGGTGAATCAGCTCCTCCCTAAGTTCCATTGGTTCAAATGGGCCTCCTCTAGCAGCAACTTACTGGGCCAAGCAACAGGATCTCAGCCACTGTGTCTAAGAGACTGTGCTACAAAACCACCAAAGTCCCTTGCTAGGCTTCCTCCTCTGCCATTACAGGCCTAGGCAAATGGTTCTCTCCCTTCCCAGCCCCTTCTTCGCAACACAGGGAGAACACTGAGCTGGCTTACAAGGTTGCAACCTTCAGACTTCAACAGAACAGGACGAAATACTTTGCTCATTTCAAAACACTGTTCAAATGCTATGGATAATTCTTTAAGCTACATTATCCAGCTGCATCTTAGTTACACCCAGTATGTGTGCACATACGCATATATCTTCCAAGTTCCTTGGTAAGCTGCATGTTTCTATTTACACATAGCAATATTCAGCATTTTCATAAACCACAGAGGGGAATTCACCTCTGTCCTATACTGTAATAATGTTACATACCACTTGCAGTAGGCACACTATTTTTCTGCTGCTGCACTGCTAAAACCTGACCAGCAGGTGGTGCTGTCTGCTTTGGTTTGCCCCCACTTTTGTCACTGGCCAGCGCCCTGCTCGGAGCTGAGGAAGCCGCATTCTTAGCTCCTGGCAACCAAGCCCTAAAACAGAAAAGGGGAGAAATTATGCAAGGGGCAGCGTTTGTAGAGCAGAGGGGGCCCCACTTCTGGGCCAGCATCCTAGTGCATCCAAACAAATGCTTGCAATTCACATCTTTGGCAACCAACGGGTACTAATGTGCACAGGCAACCCCGGCAACAGCAGTAGTCCCTGCTTGCAGTGACATGAGGGGAAAAAAAAACTACAGATAAGAGAGCTTCAAACATTTCAGTCACTAGGATCAAAACTCTGACAACTCCTGTTTTGATAAAAGCTTACAATTCATCTCTTCTATTCAGCCCTCCATTCTCTGGACCTGAAACTGCCTCCAGTATTCAAAGCAAATGGGACAGGGAGGTGAGCCCAGATTAGCTGTACTTCCTCTCCCCTTCTGCTCCCCCCCCCCGAGCCCCGTGAATGAATGAGAGCCCATGGCATTTCCTGTGTGGTACAGAGTTAAGAGATAATCACAACCTTCCCCCATCCCGGCAAATTTTTGTTGTTGGTTTTTTTTGTTTTTGAAGATTTGTAACATCAGAAGTTTCAAAAAAAAAAAAGTTGAGGATTCATCTAATTTTGGTTAGCATAATTCAGCCAATTTTCACCCCAGATACAGCCCCAATACAGAGCTTGCAGCCAACTAGGTTGCAGAAGGACTTCACTGTTGATATGATCATAGGCAGGATGGGATTTTAAAAGGAATAACTAGAGTAGAACTAGAAAATGCTCACATGTTCCACTATGGTATTTGAATGTGATACAATCTGGAGAAGCTTGGAAACCAGAATGGAGTGTTTATTATACTACCAAGTGCTGTGTTCTTACCACAAAGACAGTATCCCAATATCCTATTTGGCAACCGCACAGGGAGTGCCCTCAATAGATGCGCATGGAACCAGTATAAGATAACGAGTCATGTACGGAACATTTAGTTTGAAACCCAACTACGGTTAAAGTCTCTGCCTCACCATAAAGGTGCTTGGCTTCAACTACAAAAAACGGGCATCCTCCCATTCTACTGTTAGCATGAATCCCTCCTGGTACATTATGGGCACACGTGATGGTGCCCTCTGTGTGCCTGATGTTCTTTTCTTTCCTCCTCATGCCAGCTGGTCTCTAATCTGATAGCTAAGATGAGAGAAGCCCCATCCAGGTGTTAAGGCAAAAGTCTCAATCCAGGATGGATTTAAATCATGATTTTAAAAATGAAGAGTCTTTCAATTATTTAATTTTTAAAAACACTATTTTTTAAATTTACATTTTGATTTAAATCCATTTGGTCTTAAAAACATATTTGTATCCACCCAGCCTTAATTTGAATTTGTAAGGAAGGAAGCGTCAGCCATGTCCCCCTCAATTGTCATGGGAGAGGCTCCCCCTGTCAAAAAGGCTCTCCTTGACTCTGTCTTCCCTATGAGCACTTTCCTTCTCCTGGGTTTGGATCCATCTTTTTTGATGACCCCTATGATAGACTGTGGGACGTGGTGGCGCTGCGGGCTAACCCGCAGAAGCCTCTGTGCTGCAGCGTCAGAAGACCAGCAGTCGTAAGATCGAATCCATGCAACAGAGTGAGCTCTCGTCGCTTTGTCCCAGCTCCTTGCCAACCTAGCAGTTCGAAAGCATATAAATGCGAGTAGATAAATAGGTACCACCTCGGTGGGAAGGTAAACAGCGTTCTGGGTCTAAGTCGCACTGGCCATATGACAACGGAAACTCTTCGGACAAACGCTGGCTCTATGGCTTGGAAACGGGGATGAGCACTGCCCCCTAGAGTCGAACACGACTGACTAAAATGTCAAGGGGAACCTGTACCGACTGTGGGACTGTGAAGACCCAGATTCAAATCCTCTACTCAAGACATAAGGCTCATGGATGATCTTGGACCAGTCACTCTCTCAGCCTTACAGGGCTGAACCCAGAGAGGAGGGAAGGAGGCCATATGCCAACTTGAGCTCCGTGGACAAAAGACAGGGAAGAAACACAATGGAATACAACAGGTTGCATGCATCATCCTCACCTCAAAGCACTGCCCTTGCTATCAAGGCAAACCTGGCAGTTACTATTGGGTCAGGATCCTTCCTTCAATTATGACAGTAAATACCTTCAGCTAGTGCCTCTGTAACAGACAGCAAAGTCAGCACCCAACATTGTACCTGGAGGGCTTTGCTTGTTCAGATCTCTTGGGTTTTGTGGTAGTCGTCTTGGGGCCTAATAAAAGAAAAAAAAAGGTGGTATTTGGCTACGTCAGTGGCTTAATAAAGCATGGAACAGATGCTCCGAAGACTCTCACTAGACAATGAATAATAAAAAGGAGACTTATCATTGCCTCCACATTTCTCTTGCAGGAGAACCTCAGGGAGGATGTGAGCATGGCATCGTTGTCAGAGTCGGAAATGTGCCCATTTCTCATTTCTACCTCCATGGTGGAATGCAAGTCTGGAATTTATCACCCAAAAGAACCTCAATTTTTTAGCTGAGGCCAGTTAAGCATTCCAGTCCTCAGTGCTACAGGAACTAAGTCTGAAGACAATGCTTAGTGATGTTTCTAAAACCTAGAATAAAACCCAGACAGCTTCATTGTCTTGGTGGGAAACGACCCCAGACACTTTCATGGCTTTGTTCTTCAACAAGAGCTCATAACAGAAATTTGGCCCTCAATGCAAAATGTAAACTTCTGGTGTACTATTTGGAACTGCAAAAGACATCACTAGCAATGCAGCCTCTGGAAAGAACTCTGCCTTGATTCCAGCCTTCTTTAAGCCAGGCATAGCCCCTACCCTTCAAGGATGCCTACAGTGTACTGAAGAACTTCACATATTTATGCCCACGTTTCAGCTGACAACGAATACCTGAAGCGGTTGACTGTGTTGTCCCCTTTGTGGTCTTCTGCTGCACCTCTGTCTCCTGGCTCAGCTTTTCTGAAGTCTTCAGCCCACTGGGCCTGTCCCCCACTCCTTTCTTCACAGTCATCCTACTAGCTGATGAGTTGGTGGTAGCTGCAGTGGCGGCGGCACTGGGCTTGGGCACTGGCTGTTTGGGCTGCAACACATTGGCCTTCCTAGCTGTCCCATTGTTGAGCACTCTGGCGGCACCAGTAGGAACCGTGGGAGGGCGAGATGCCAGGCCTGTTGGCTGCTTCCTCCCGGGAGGCTGGGCTGTCAGCTGAGGGTTCTTGCTGGACTTCTGCTTTGCTGCAGGGGGGCAGGCAATGGGAGTCCCTCCTCTCTTGCTGGTGACCATGCCATTTGATTGCAAAGCTGCTGGGCCTCCACTGGCAGCTATTGTGCCATCCATCTCTGCACCACAGGGCACCAGGCAGGTTGTCTCTATCCCTCAGAGTAGCCAGACAAGGAACCGTATTCACCGAGCGGCCTGGGATGGCAGGAGAGAACAAAGGCATGACACAACCGAAACCTTACAAGGAGCAGCCCAACAGACACGGGGGCAGGTGGGGGGGGGGCGCCTGCACCAACTATGGCAAACCCTATCTCACAGCTCTGGAACTGATGTTTTGGGGCTAATGCCCTCACTAGCCATGGCTGGCCAGGGGATTCTGGGAGTCCAAGAAAGGAATATTTCCAGGCTTTGCCTCCTGATCCAGGGCGTCTGAACGGAAGTACAAAAGAAAAGAAAAAAAGGAGGTTGAGGTGGGTGGGGATAGACAATGTGCACAAGGAAACATATCCTTGCAGCCATCTGTTCGCACAAAACTATCTTCTGAAGAGGAAGATTGATACTGGCAGACGCCAGCAACAAGACCAGAGAAAGAACAACCCGACTTTACTACTGAACGTGTCTTCTTGGACTACCAAGGTCACGGCAGTAGCTGGCTGAGATGGGAGCCTTATTGGCTGTTCCAAGAAAGCCCTGCCCATCATCTCCCCTTAGGTGAAGCCACAAGACGCTCAAGGGAGGGCTGTTCACTAGCTTGGGTCTGCCCACTTTGCAGTCCCATCTGTCCTTCTCATACCAATCAGTGGAGGTAGCAAAGAATGGGAGACCGTTCACGGCAGCCGTAAGGGCTGGCAGGTGTCTGCCTGGAATGCAGCAAGAACTCCAGCCTCACAAATCTTCAACGCAATTCACCAAGAGCCATGGCTACCCTGTATGCCCTGAAGATATTTTAGGTATAGGATAGCTCTCGTTTCTACCTCACAGAGCACCCCAGATGGGGGACATGGTTCTGGGAGAAACCACCAAGTGGTAGGTATTTCTTCACTATCCTCTGGTCTGTTTCCCTCCCCTCCTGACTTCTTGGAAGAAGACAGTCATGCTAGGATACATCAGACACATCACTGGCAATATTCTGAGGGAAGACCATGTTTCTACAGCACCCCTTAAGATCACCTGAACTACAACTCCCATTGTGCAACTTAGACTTGGCCATGCTAGCTGGGGATATCAGAAGTAACAGTTCAACCCATCTGGAGGGTGCCAGAGTAAAGAAGGCTGCCTTTGATGGTGAGCTCCCTGCTACTGAACCTTATAGAATTAAACAGGATTTCAGATGTTACACGGCATTTACAACCACCATCTAATTTGAAACCTGCGTTCCATGAAAAATGTTTTATTTCAAAACAGAGGTTGCTCACCTCACTGCACTACTTAGAACCAGCTCTCAAACAGATTAGATCTTCCATTTCAAATCCACATGCACTGAAATTGGCAAGGAAGAGAGAAAACATGAAAGCCTTTTATCAACTACCTGTACATGATAACTGGATAGCCCATGGCATGGCGTGGACAGCTAAAAAAGTACACTGATATTACCCAGCTCAATACATTTACTTGGAACCCATTTAATGCAATCACTAGGGATTATATCCAAATTGATGCATCCAGGACTAGCATGTAGAGCAGGGCAAGAGGAAGGCCTTGGGTAACTGTGTTAAGTCACTGGCTGATTGAATGGGGAGTCTGTCAGCATTTCCTGTCTCCTTATTAGATTCTGACTATACTCAATGCAAATTTGTACAGAAGGCTTGAGACTGCCTGCTTTTAGCACATTCTAAGCAACTGTTTGATAGTACAGTATATATATCTAACAGTATATGTACAGTATAGTGTGTGTATACACACACACACACACACACACACATACACACAAACATATATACATACATATACGGTACATACATACACATACCGTATTTGCCGGCGTATAAGACAACTTTTGGCCCAAAAACATGCCTCCAAGTGTGTGTGGGGGGTCGTCTTATATGCCGGGTGCACTTCAGTTGGGCCAGGAAGGAGCCGCGGCCACCACCGCTGAGTGAGTGACACGGGGGCCATGCCGGCCAGGGAGGAAGGCAGGGGGGCAGGCAGGCGGCCGGTCCAGATGGAGGGAGGGAAGTAGAACTGGCCATGCCTGAGTGGCCAGAGCCCACTGCTGGGCTGCCTGCCGCCCCGCTGAGCCAGCTGCCTGCTCGCCGCCGGAGAGTCACTACCCCTCCTCCTCCACCCCACCCGCTTCCCCTCCTTGTCGCCGGCCATGAACTTCCAAGACGGAGGGAGGGAAGTAGAACTGGCCATGCCTGAGTGGCCAGAGCCCACTGCTGGGCTGCCTGCCGCCCCGCTGAGCCAGCTGCCTGCTCGCCGCCGGAGAGTCACTACCCCTCCTCCTCCACCCCACCCGCTTCCCCTCCTTGTCGCCGGCCATGAACTTCCAGGGTGGGCCCGGGCATAGCCCCGGGCAGCCGGCGGCGGCATCGCAGCAGAGCCGTCCACTCTATATTTTGAGTGGAAATGTTGGGGGGGTCGCCTTATATGCCGTCGTCCTGTATGCCAGCAAATATGGTATATACACACATATATATACATATACATACACACACATACATACACATACACATCTACACATCTACACATCTACACACACACACACACACACACACACACATCTAAGCAACTGTTACTGCCTGGGCAGTAATGTGGAATCTCCACAATTTCAGGTCTTCCAAATAGTCCACTAAGGAAAAAAAAAACTTCTTTGGCTATTCTAGAACCTGTCATGATTTCTCACTATCACTGGAAAAGTATTTTTCACATGCCCAAAAGCATTCAGTTGGAAGATCCCTCTCCTCTCACCAACCGAAATACCACCAGAATCAGAACTCCAGCAAGAGAGATGCCCCACCACCTGATTTCCATTGTCAAACTGCTCTTTACCATGAATTTTTTTCCTTGACATTAAGCCAAATCTACTCTCCTCTAACTAGATCCCCGATTTCTACTTATGCCGTGTGGTGACCTCCCATCTTTCACCAGAACTTCCCTCCTCCAGGGTTAGACACACCTAGTTACTGCACTGAAAGCTTTCCTCACTGTTCTTGTGCTTCCGTGATTTCTAACTAGATTTGTTGCTTTCCTCTGGAACTCACTACTGTTTTGTTTATATCCTTCTTAAAGTGCAGCATCCAGAATTCCATCCATTTCGGGTCTTTACACTTTAAGAATAAGAATTTAGACAAATTGGAATGGGTTCAAAGGTGGACGTGTTAACAACTGTAAAGGTAAAGGTAAAGGTTCCCCTTGACAATTTTTGTCCAGTCGTGTTCGACTCTAGGGGGCGGTGCTCATCCCCGTTTCCAAGCCATAGAGCCAGTGTTTTGTCCGAAGACAATCTTCCGTGGTCACATGGCCAGTGTGACTTAGACACGGAACGCTGTTACCTTCCCACCAAGGTGGTCCCTATTGATCTACTTGCATTTGCATGCTTTCGAACCGCTAGGTTGGCGGGAGCTGGGACAAGCAACAGGAGCTCACTCCGTCGCATGGATTCGATCTTACGACTGCTGGTCTTCTGACCCTGCAGCACAGGCTCCTGCGGTTTAGCCCGCAGCGCCACCACGTCCCTTGTTAACAACTGAGGAGGCCCCAATTCAGGGTTAAGCTCCAGCTCTTTCCAAGCTCCCCAAACTTGAGATTTTTCACCTCGAGGGGAGGCCCATGCTCATCTTTCTACCAGTCGGTGCCAGCATCAGATTTGGGTAATGTGTGCACACCCTCCAACCGTAATCTTCCCACCCAACTCTTGCTAGCAAGGGGGAGGGCATCTGCACCTGGCGATGCTGAAGCCAGTGCCATCTTCTTTGGGATGCTCCTGAGAATACTGACCTACTACCTTCGTAGAGGTGTTTCAGAAAGAAGAGACAGAGGCACCAGTAGCTAACGTCAGCTCTGACATTTGCCGTACCACACCTGGTGCTGGGACGGCTGTGCTCTGCTCTAGTAGTACAGGGTTACCCAGGATGGATAACATTTTTTTTAAATTAAAAATTGGATTTTTAAACTGACATGGCTTTAAAAATTTTAAGTCAATGTTTTATTCATACTTTTAAAAAATCATAAAATACTATCTCAATTCCCATTTAAAATTAACCTTTAAAACTAAATCTCATTATGCAAGCTAACCCTATACTCACAGATTCAGAAAATCAATTAATCGCTCTATTCCACTCTCAAAAATTCAATTACTTACAGTCACTGTATGCTTTCAAGGTGATTCTGACTTATGGCAACTCTTTCCAGAGTACTCTAGGTACAGCATATTCAGGAGTGGCATTACCATTCCCTTCTTCTGGGGGAAAACGCTGGGACTGCCCTGCAGCTTGCCCTAGGCCACATTGGCTGGCTCTTCAGGAGACACAATGGGGGGAAATCAAACACCCAAACTCTAGGTGCTCAAATCACTGAGCTATCCAGTCAGGTAACAACACCGCCATTTTTAAAGATTTAGCTGCTAGAGGATATGATGCAGCTTTTTCGCTTAATTTTTTTTTTAAAGTTAAACCCATTTCTCAGTTAATAACTGCCGTGACCTTTACATAAAAATATATGCAAATTAGCCTCTTTGGCTAGTTTCCCTCCCCCCAATTCTTTTCCTTTCAGAAGCATGACCCCTAGGCTGCTGGGAAATCTGAAAAATAGCCTTAGTCCCACTGCAATTGCCCACCTCTGCTCTAGTCCATCCAGAATTAAACAGCAATTACGAATTCTTGCCTCAGGTTTAGGACTTTGGGCTCCTTTTCCTCTGCAACTAAAACCTCATGACAAACAAACAGGCGCAGTGAGACGTTGCTTGTGTGGACGTGCTTGGGCCAAGCAAGGCCGAGTTGAGAGATGACAGGGAAGCACTATTCACTCTTAACCCCTTCAGCTTCCCTGAGGGACAGTCACAGGCGTATTAGCCGCATAAAGCACCTACATGCTCTTGGATGGATGTGTGCCTACCCTATAACTACGTGTGTATGTTTCAAGGACAGCCGTTAGATGGAAAGGAAGGAACAGAAAATGGGAGTCATTTATGTACTTATTCAAGGTCTAGTTTCATAAACCAAGAGCCCTGTAATTGATGTCTTATCATTCCAAGTGTACAGATAGCATTGTCTGTGACTTGACAATGGTAATATTTCTATTAGATACTACAATTTTCTAAATTAATAAGATGAAGTGATCTAAAAATGGCACTACCTCTCCAAGATGAGCTACCAATTAACATATCTCAGTGATCAGTCTTGCACCATCGCTTAGAAAATATGGGACAAAGAAGATTTATTTAAATCAATTACTTAAACCAGGCTTTTCTCCTTCCGATAGAAATCAATCCAGGATCACCTACTCCAGCTAAGCCAGGATTTCCTTGACAACACTTTTAAGTGCATAGCGCCTCTGTCCCCCTATCTTTCTTTGTTCTTGCTTTAGTTGCTTCCCAACAGACCGCAGTGACTTCATGGTTGTGGCAGCTTGGGCCCAGGGTGATCAAGCAGCCATCTGCAAATTGCTTTGGTGTTTGAGGAACACCTGAATTGGCTCAAGGACAAAAGCTTAAAGAAGTTCACAAGTCAGTTCCATCTCCTACATCCTGCCTTCTGCCCTGCAGAATCAAAGTTTTAAAATTCTCAGAAGCCATCACTACAGCCCCCCCCCTTTAATTCACAGTCTTATTGCCCACTAACAGCAAACCAAGGCTACGACCTAAAAGTGTGTGAAATCAGGACAACTTCCACTCACCAATTAGCAACTTACGCCATCTTGCTCAGAGTGAAACAGAGAGAAAACATTGCAAAGAGGCTCATAAGGGTGCAAGGTCTGCCCACACCCTCACTTCCTCATCTTGTTATTCGGAGGTGTCAAAGGAATCCTTTTAAAGGCCCTCTGAAGTCCACCTGACCTCAAACTCCAGCAGTTGCAAAAAACTACCAAATGGTCACCATGAGTTTTAGGGTGGTAGAGACAGAAACAGAAGCTGACTTTGCAAACCCAAGGCTCGGCACAACCAGAAGAGACTTTCTAGCACCCACTGCTTGCAAAAATGCAATTCCCTTTGACTTCAGCCACACCTAACATAAAAACTCCCACTCCTTCGCAAAACCACCAGATGACAGGATTTACCACCATAGTTCAGCCACTGCCAAACAGTGCAGGGTAGGGAGCAGTTTGTCCTCCTCTGCCATCATCTGAAGATGATATTTTGTTTGAGCCCTTTGTTTCTACTTGTCTTCTCATCTGCTTTACAGGTAATCTTTTGGGACCTGAAAACCACTATCAAGTTTCAGTTTGACTTTCTCCCTTCCTAAACACAAGTCCCTCTCCAGCCCCTTGTCTGCTGGTTCTGAAGTCTTCAGTAGTCTTTCAGATGTCCTGCTATCAGGGAA